TTGGATTGTTTCCATCTTTTGGCTATTAAGAATAATACTGCTATGAACATTTTTGTGTAAGTTTCTATGTGAACATATATTTTCAGTTCTCTTGGGTTTATGTAGAGTGGAATTGCTGGATCATATAATAACTTTTTTTAACTTTTTGAGGAACTGCCAAACTATTGTCCAAAGTGATTGCCCATATCATGTTCCAGTTAACAGCGTACAAGGTTTTGATGTCTCCATATCCTTGCCTACACTCATTATTGTTTGCCTTTCTGATCATAGCCATCCTGGTGGATGTGAAGGGCTATCTCATTGTGGTTTTGATTTGCATTTCTCTTATGGCCAGTGATGTTGAACATTTTTTCATGTGCTTATTGGTCATTTGTATAGCTTCTTTAGAGAAATGTCTATTCAAATCCTTTGGCTGTTTTAAATACTGGGTTATGTGTCTTTTTATTATTGAGTTGGAAGAGTTCTTTATGTATTCTGGATACAATCCTTTATGTGATTAATAAATGCTTTCTCCCATTCTGTGGATTTTCTTTTCAGTCTGTTAATAGTATCATTTACAGCATAAAAGTTTTTAATTTTGATGTAGTTCAATTTGTCAATTTTTTAGGTCACTTGTACTTTTGTATCTAAGAAACCATTGCCTAACTCAAGGTCTAGAAAACTTCTATGTTTCTTTCTAAGAGTATTATTTTAGGTCTTAAGTTAGGTCTATGATCCATTTCGAGTTAATGTTTATGTAGTCTTATGAGGCAGGGGTCCAACTTCATTACTTTGCACATCCCCATAGACCCTTAGTATGGTTAGACTTTTTAATTTTATCCATCCTAGATATATACCTAATAGGTATATATAGGTATATACATAATAGGTATATACATAGGTATTTATAGGTATATACATAATAGGTATGTATTGTTACTATATTCTAACACTGCATTTAATTTGCATTTCTCTAATGACTAGTGATGTTGAATTTGTTTTTATACGTATTCACCATCTGTGTCTTCTTGGGTGAAGTAAAGTAATGAAATCCATTTTTTAAAAATTGGATTTTTAAGTTATTGAGTTTTACTAGTTCTTTATGTGTTCTGAACACAAATACTTTATCCAATATATGATTTATAAATATTTTCTCTCAATCTGAGGACCGATAAGGCACAGCAGTAAGAGAGGAGAGGGAATGGTAGATTTAGGAGAGAGACTCAGAAAGGGGACTGGATGGGGTCTGGCTGCAGTTACATGTATGTGAGGAGGAGCCCGGGCTTCTGGGTAAATGCTGGGGTCCAGAGGAAGAGGAAGAGCAGGAAAGAGCGGTTTCCTGGAGGCAAGGAGCGAGAAAGAGTCATGAAAAAGGAAGCTGTCAGGAAGATCAGATGCTGCAGAGAGATCCACGGAGAGAAATCCACATCTTTGATCTCTGGGTTTGACAGGAGGATGAGATAAGGTTGCAGGAGCTGTTTCGGAGCTGGTGAGAGTCCGGGAGTCAGATTGCAGGGGACAGCGTGGTAGGTGTTAGGAGGCGTAAGGGGGATGGAATATTGTCAGATATTTGACGCGTACTCTCTTTGGTTGACCATTTGGATAAGTCTTTTGGGTGCAAGTGATAGAAAACCCTACTCAAACTAGCTAAAACAAAGGGAATTTATGGGCTCAAATAACTGAAAACTCTCAAAGAATCAAGCAAGTCTTGATCTAAAGGTTTAAATGATGCCATCAAGACCTGGTTCTTGCTGTCTCCTCAGCTGTCCCCTTTTGTTGGCTTCATTCTCTATCTCAATATGGTGACAAGGGTTCTGGACACTCCCAAGTTTATGTCCTTCCAGATTGAAGTTGAACGGGAGTGAGATCTTGTCTCTTCCTTGTAGATCCAGGATTCTAATTGGATCTACTTGGATTCTGTGCCCAAGCCTCAGTCAGTAGTTGCTGAGCATAGGAGTTAAAATTTCTCTGATAACCAGATACGGAGAATCTGCCAGCTTCAGGCCAGTGGTCCGGGCTGGGAGAGCTCCGTATTAGGTCTGGGTCACCTGTCTGCCCTGGAGCTAGAGGGTAGAATCTTAGCTGAAGAATTTGGACTACATGTGAGGGAGAGGCAGTTCTCAAATGAGGCTCAAGTGCTGTTCCCGAAAGCTGGAATGGATGTTCTAGCTAGAGAGACAGTGTCCACTAGGACTGTGGAGGACAAAACCAGGGTCAATGGGTGGAAATTACTGGTCTTGCTGCATTTCTGCTCATAGAGAAAGATCTGTCTATGAAGTACATGAAATAGGCCAACTATTGAGGTAGTGAGTTGGCTGTCATTGGGAGTATCCAAGCAACCACTGTGAATAAATGACAACAACCCATCAGCAATGTATAGATGGAACGGATAACCTCTCACACCACATTATTTAAACTGTTTCTCTGTGACACGGTAAGGAATACCTCTTAAAACCCAGTGTACCCTTATATGTGTATACAAAACTGCAAACAAAAGTTTCATGAAAGTGCTTTTCCTTGCTACCTGTGGTGTGTGCTTTATTTTTTTCTCCCGAGTCAGAGTCTTGCTCTGTTGCCCAGGCTAAGGTGTCAGCCTAGCTCACAGCAACCTCAAATGCCTGGGCTCAAGTGATCCTCCTGCCTCAACCTCCTGAGTAGCTGGACTACAGATGTGCACCATGACACTGGGCTAAGTTTTTCTATTTTTAGTAGAGATGGGGTCTTGCTCTTGCTCAGGCTGGTCTCGAACTCCTGACCTCAAGCAGTCCACCTCCTAGAGTGCTAGGATTACAGGCGTGAGCCACTGCACCTGGCCCCTGTGGTGTGTTCTTGTTTTCTTTTTTAAATTCTACTTTTAAAAAATCTGTTTTGTGCAACACACTAAATTGCTCTAACGTCCCTCCAATGAGTCTTGACCTGCAGTTTGTAAAACCCTGTTCTAAGGGCTGATGTCTTAACACATCTCTCCTAAATGGACAAGACTTGAAGATGATGTCTGAACATGGCTTTTCCACCATCATGGAGGCATGGGTCAGAAATGAGGAAGCAAACCTCTTCTACTTGCGAGAGCTCCTGGTTCTAAGTGGTGGAATCCTCTGCTGTCTATCACAGCAGCTCCTGCCCTGTCTTCGGGGTGGTGTGGCCTTCTTTACGGGCCCTCAGGGCAGCGTTGGAGGGAGATTATGGGCTGGCCGTGGGCTGCAGGATGGCGGAGGCAGCCCGGCAGTCTGTCTGTCCGGGCTGGCAACAGCAGCTGCGTGCCAGCAGCGGTGCACCTTGTGAGGTCGAATGTGTGCGTAAGTGTGTGTTCTCTGCCAGGCCTTTATATTGAAGGTGAGGGAGTGGCTTTTAAAAATAACATATTTTTGACTTGAAACAAGTCAAGGCAGAGAGTGGAGACAATTAGAGACTGACATCCTGTTTAGTCATCTCTCCAGAGAGCTCTATTTTCAGAACTGTTCTATAAAGGTTCACAAGTGGTGTTAAGATAGTTAGGGGATATTGTTAAGTTAGCAGTAGTCATGATGCAAGTAGCTGATTTGAACACGGGGGTGACTTACAGTGTGGTAACTGCACTGGTAATGGATTTTATGCAGAGAAAGGGAGGGTTGTAAGAATAGGCTGTTATATGGGTAAAGATTTCTGGATCTGTACAACATAGGTGTCTTGTATTTTGAAAAAGCATATAATCGTGGTGTGGTGTTAAAACTATGTGGCGGAGACCGAGGGTTAGACCAATGCCTTTGTGGAGGGCTTTTGTTCACCTGTAGATATGATAATAATAAAAAAAGTAAACAGTACTATTAAGGTTCTTTGAGATCATGTGATGGAGGCCACGTTAGAAATGCTGGACAATGATGCCATCGACTTTCAGATGAGAGCAGTGAGGCCCAGGTGGCGAAGGACTCTTTTGCCCAGAGTCTAGAGACAGCTGTGGCCGAGTCAGACTGGAGTCCATGGCATGTGTGGGGGTGGGGGGAGGTCCTTTCTGCTATCCCATATGACTGGTAGCTTATTTAAACTTCCTGGTCTTACCACAAAGTGGCAATCCATATCTATATCAAGCTTCTCTACCTATAGGTCAAAGATTCTCTTGACTTTCCTCTTTCTGATGAAAGATCAAAGGCAAGCGTGGAGCCATGCACTGAATCTGGCAAGATTTATTTAAGCACAATGGTAAATTCATGTGTTTGAATTTATAAGAATCCCGTAGTGCAAGGCCTAGAGATGTTCATGGATAGTGAGGCTAGCACCCAGCAGGAAGAGGGTAGAGTCTGCCCACTTGCGCCAGTGGTGATCAGAGCAGATCAGGAAGGTGCCATTCCATCCTGGGCGCCACGCTGCATGGAGTCTTCTGGAAACTGGAGTGTATGCAGAGGGTAGGGCCACATGAAGAAGACTTCAAGCTTCCTCCTTTGCAGCATATACATGTCTTGATAGCTCAGCTGATAGATAATTTTAAGGGTTGAGGATACTCCTGTAGATAGTCAAGAGTAGTAGTGAATGCAAAGCTCTCAAACTTCCTTCCCTAGCACTTCCTTAAGATTGACTAGACTGGTGGAAATGTATAGACAGAGACTACACTTTTTACTCTCTGAAACTAAAGATTTTCAGTTGACTGTGCCATGTTTGTTTGTTATGTTATATACTGCCATTATTTCTTGCCATTGCTGCATGGTTTAGTTGAAGTGCTCTAACAAGCAGTACAGATAGGGTATGGAGGTCTCAAAAACAATTACCAAGTGTGTGAATGCCTCTCTGTATCATGAAGAGCCAAAAATGGAAGAGAATAAAATTCAAGATGAATAAAACTGAAAAAATACAGTTTCTTTTATATTTGCTTTTCAACCTTTATGATTTTTTTGGGTTTTCACTTGTTTCCTTGCCCCTCTACTATTTAATGAAAGATTTGATTTATGGCTGTGATTTACACATTTAGGCCTCTCTGTCATGAATTATTTAAAGTCCACAAAAGTACTTTAATAATAGAATATAATATACAATTTTTTTTCTCTTTCTAGGTGGATCTGGAGCCAGAAGGGAAAGTATTTGTGGTAATAACCCTAACAGGGAGTTTCACTGAAGGTAAGAATGAGTTTTGTGTGGTTTCAAGTATATGTGTAATCTGAGTTCATATTCAATAAAAATTTCTATCTTGGAAATTATAAAAGAGTATTTTTGCAAAAGATGTTTAAAAAAATCACTCTCTCAAGTTGGGCTGACTGGTGTTTTGTTTCCCAATGGTGTATTGGCTCAGGTTGCCGTATTAAATATATTCACTAATTCTGGCAATTTCATGTTCTTCTGTAGCATCCTAAGTTTTTGTTTATATTGATCACATCTCAGCTGAATTGGTTTTTGTCCCTTTTGCTTCATGCATATTAAACTATACTTTAAATTTTTGGTTTCGTGCCAACCTTTTGGTTTGCCCTTTGATGTCTGTGAAAGCAATTTAGGGATCCTGTTCTCTTCTTTATAATGCCTATCTCATTCTTACCCTATAAGGGATTCTGTTCCTCATCCCCTGCTACCACTCCCTTCCACTCCTGCCCCCCATAATTTTTTTTTAATTGAGGTAAAATTTATATGTGGTGAAATGAAAGATCGGAAATGAGCAATTTGAATTTTAACAAATGCACACAACTGTGTAACCAGCCCCCCAGTGCAAGAGACAGAACATCTCCATTACCTTGAAAGTCCTGTGTGCCCTTGCTCATCAGCGCCCTGGTGCCAAAGGCAGCAAGTGCAATGTGTTCCTTCACCACAGATTAGTTTTGCCTACTCTAGAGGTTCATGTGAATGGAATTACATAGTATTTCTCTTTTGTGTCTGGTTTCTTCACTCAGCATGATTTCTCTAAGATTCATTCTTGTCATTGTCTCTGTCAGGATTCATCTTTATTACTGAGTAGTAGTCCGTTATATAAATGTAGCACCCATTTATTTACCCATTCTCCTCCTGGTGGACTTTCGGGTTTTCCCTGTTGTCTATTATGCATAATGCTTCTGTAAATATTCTTATATATAAATTTTTGTGGATATAACACTTTCATTTCTCTCAGGTAAATACATAGAAGTGGAATTGCTAGATAATAGTGTCTGTTTAACTTTATAAGAAATTCCCAAATGGTTTTTCAAAGTGGTTTTGTTACTATACTCCCTCTAGCAATGAGTGAGAGTTCCAATTACTCCATATCCTCACCAATACTTGCTATGGTCATTCTTTTTCATTCTAGACATGCCTAGTCGGTATGACATGGTATCCTGTGGTTCAATTTGCATTTCTCTGATGTCAAGTAATTTCTTATGTTTGTTTGTTTTGATAATTTCTAGTTCTAGTCTTTTGCCCTGCTTTCCAAAACTGGTTTTGTCTTTTGATTTTTAGGAGTTCTTGTTTTCATGAGTCCTTTGTGAGAAATAGATGTGAGTACTTTTTCCCAGTCTGTGGCTTGCTTTTTTGTTTTCTTCATCCTGTCTTTGAGCAGAAGTGTTAAATTTCTATGAAGTCCAGTTCATCTGTCTCTTCTTTGATAGTTTGTACGTTTTCTGTCTTCTCTAAGAAATCTATCATAGGGTCACAAATATATTCTGTTTTCTTTTAGTAGATTATCGTTTTAGCTTTTATATTGAGGTCTGTGTGCCTTCTTAAATTAAATATTTGTGTTTGGTTGTGATAGGGGAGTTGGAATTATTTTCTCCTGTACACTAACCCAGTTGTTCTAGCACCATTTGTTGAAAATACTTTCTTTCTTTGTTATTAAATCACCCTGGAACCTTTGTTGAAAATCAATTGACCGTATAATGTGGGTCTATTTCCAGAGTATCTGTGTGAGTCTATCCATCTAGTCTGTCGTTGTGTTGGTACTGTACTGTCTTTGTTATGGTTGCTTTATAGTGAGTCTTACCATTAAATAGTGTGAGCCCTTCAACTTTGATCTTGTTTGTTTCAGTTTTAGCTGTTCTCCGTATTTTGCATTTTAATATCAATTTTAGAGTCAGCTTATGTATCTTTACACAAAATCCTGCTGGATTTTGAATTCAAATTTTGTTGAATCTATAAATCAATTTGAGGAGAATTGACATCTTAATTGTGAGCATCTTCAAATCCATAAACATGGTATATCTTTATTTATTAATGGTCTTTAATGTTGCTCATCCATATTATCAATGTAATATAATTTTCAATACAGAGGTATTGCACATGTTTTTAAAAATGTATTTGTAACTATCCTAAGCTTCTTTTTTTTTTTTTTTTTTTTTTTGAGACAGAGTCTCGCTTGTTGACCAGGCTAGAGTGAGTGCCATGGCGTCAGCGTAGCTCACAGCAACCTCAAACTCCTGGGCTCAAGCAATCCTTCTGCCTCAGCCTCCCGAGTAGCTGGGACTACAGGCATGTGCCACTATGCCCGGCTAAGAAATTAATTGGCCAATTAATTTCTTTCTATTTATAGTAGAGACGGGGTCTTGCTCTTGCTCAGGCTGGTTTCGAACTCCTGACCTCGAACAATCCGCCCGCCTCAGCCTCCCAGAGAGCTAGGATTACAGGCGTGAGCCACCGCGCCCGGCTATCCTAAGCTTCTTGATGTTATTAATGGTCTTTTTAAAATTTCATTTTGAAATTTGTTACTGGTACATAAAAATTAAATTTATTTTTGTATATTGACTTTGAATCCTGTGACCTTACTAAATTCACTTGTTCTAAAAGGGTTTTTTGGTAGATATCATAAGATTTTCTATGCAAATAATCATTGCACCTATGAATTAAGTTTCCTTTTTCTTTTCTGATATTGGTGTCTTTTATGTCTTGCATGCCTTATTGTATTGTGAGGATTCTAGGACAGACATCCTACCTTGTCCATACTCAATTTAGTTTTTCCCCATTATGTATTATGATAGCTGTATGTATTTTATAGAGTTGCTTTATCACAATTGAGGAAATTTCTTTCTAGTCCTAGTTTTCTGATAGTTTTTCTTTTTTAATTGTGATTAAAATTTTGGCAAATGTCTTTTCTTTGTCTATTGAGATGATCATATGATTTTTTCCCCTTTATTCTCTTTTATTTTATAGCAGGTAGTTAAATTACTGGCTGATCACCTTAAAATTGTGAAGGGTTTTAAGGGTGGGACGGTTTCACTCTTTCCTTTTAGTCCTAGGGCAAATTCCATAGTCCTAGGACACAGTCTTTGCTCATAGGGCATAGCCAATCCGAGGGTTCAGTGGAAATCCCAGGTTGTTTTAAATCTTTTTAGCTTTGTGGCACTTAATCATCAAACTGTTTCTCCTAGGTGTGAAACAGCTAAAATCCCAACTCAGGTCTTTCAGTGTTCAGCTCTTTTTTCTGGACTGCTTGGAGTCTTGCTTGCACATGCACAGTTTAGGAGGAAGCAAGGATTTAAAGAGTTTACATATTTGAAGTTTTTTTTCTCTGTGGCCCCATTCGTTCCAGGATTTCTTTCCTCAATATCGAGTCATCTGGTGGCCCTGCATTTTGCCATTTCCTTCCTCAAGCCAATAAAACTGTGGCTCCCTTCTTGAGTTCTGTTCACTCAACCTTGTGCAGCATGGGAAATAATCTGGAGAAAAGCCCTGTAAATATAGATCTCACCCAGTGCAGTTCCCTTCTCTCAAGTGTCAGATTCCCTCTAGTTTGTGCTTGTTTTTGGTTGTTCTTCTGCATCTTCAACTAGTTGTTTTTAAATATATTTTCCAGATATTTTAATTATTTAGCAGGAGAGTTGGTCCATTATAAGCTACTACACCATTACTAAAATCCCATGAAGTTTTGAAGTTATGTGGCTTAATGGTTTGTATGTTTGGTGTTGGTGCATTTTGTAAATTGGTTATATTAATACTTTCTTTGAGAAATAGTTTTCTCCTCTCGGCCAACCATTTCCATTAATGAGAGCGATTTGTTTTAATGTTAAAGTTTTTTGATGCGTTGTCTCAGTTGTTAGATCTTGCCTTTTTGCTCCATATTGAAATTAGAAGAAACCTGGGATAATTTGGACATTAAAAAAAACTGTCCAGGTTACAGTTTGGGGGGTCTTCTGCCTGTTCTCAGGTCTTTCTATTTTGCTTGGTATCTTGGACATACAGGATGTATGAGCAAAATGAGTCTGCTCTAACCTCGTCGAATGAAATGAATGCAGTATTACAGAACGTTGTTGATAGAACATTCTCATAATGCACATGGAACGTGGGTCAGCTAGGGTGGAAATAAATGCAGCAGTGAGAAGAGAGGCCAGAATGAGGAGTGGGCGAGATTCTGAGTGTGCTGAATCACCCTTCTGTGTTAATTTACAGTGAAGTAAGGCTGTGCATGTTACACCAGGTCTGACTGTGCCACAATCATTACATGACTATTTTAGATCTATGCCAGCTCTCTAGGACTAAATGCTATTAAGTTTGTATCTTCCTTAATTGTACTTTAGAAACATCTGATCAATGACACTGGAATACACTTGGATGTTCTCATTGTATGTATTTGTTAGTTTCAGTGATAAGAACAACAAAATGGTAAATCAGATTGCGAGGTGAGTTCTTACTAGGTTGTTGCAGTTGTATTCCTTTCAGAGCTGACCCTGGGTAAATTGTGAGATTGGCTGAGTTCATATTCGCTAATTCTACCTTCCCTTTAGGCTAGTTCTTTCTCTCTGCCTTCAGCTGTCTCTAATTCCAGTAACAAGCCCAGTAATCTCTGGGAACAGTTGATGACAAGGAAGACAATGAATTCATGGGCTAATTCACACTAAAGTGATATTGATCAACATTTTAGTACTCTACCACTCTCAGGTGTGTTTGCATATTTTAAAAGATGCTAGAAGAGCTGTTTTACCTTTGAGAAATAGACTTTTCATGTTAAAATTTTAGGAGCTATGGCATGTATGCTTGGGATATATTTAGGAACTCCAGATCAGTCCTCCGTCTCTCTGTTGGGAGCATTGTCATTTCAGTTTGGCTTCTAGACTGGGTCTTGGCTAAAGATTGCATGTTGCTGCTGCCTTAGAGCACAGGTCCCTTGTCAAATACAGAGGACATGACAGCTGCCTCTCTGCATGTGCTACATGAGGAGGAGATGGAGCCCC